ACTTGTAAGATTGCCGCGGCGACTGCAGATGAATTTTGAATGATTCCGGATGTATTTATCGAGGTGTAAAAAAAAGCTTTTGATAGGGCGCTTTTATACAAAAATTCACTATGTGATCGCCTCTTTTGTTCGTCCAGCCGTCAGACATCAGTGTTAAGTTTGTTTCAGAATTCAAAATTTCATTTACAGAAGTAGAACAATTTGTGTATTGTTTGTTGAGAAGAGATCCTGATAAGGCTTTAGCATTCGGGATGACAGATGCGTACGATGGATTAAGCGACTTAACGAAATCCTTAAAGGCGTCCGATTCGACTAAACGAAATAATATACCCGTACGGTAAAAGAAATTAGCAAACTTCGTGTCGATATCATTTTTGAGCTCTTCATTAATTGGTTGATATACACGCTGCGTCGGTGAATCAGAAGTAGACGGAAGTTGCTGAGATTGATTAGATGTGACGATTCATAATTACGCTTAGAAAACAATCTTTTTTCCTCGACAATGGCGTTTGGACGTGTTGATCTTTTATGCGCTGCAAGGCGTTCCTTCGACCATCGAACAGTGTTGTTACATGCTAAACAAGTGCAAGAACGCTTCTCTCAAGAATTGTCAAATAATTCGAAATTTTGATGTTTTTCATTTTAAACATTTTGAATGACAAAAATACATGGTTTTTTGATTCTAAATCACTTTAAATTGTAGTAAGAAACACTTACAAAGGTTTACATTGATTGATTATATGTAGCTTAAATTAAAAAGAGACAGATAAGTAATGAAAAACTCGTAAAAAGTAGATAATTATGCAAAAATTATTTCAGACACTTGATTCAGATAATTTAAATTTTTCGTTTACGTTTAAAGGTGAGTTTCCACTCATCCGTTTTTCTACGGGAAAGGGAAAGGGAACGGAAAAATAATCACGTGAGCATGCGCAGTTTTCTTTCAGACAAATAAAATTTCTTATTACGCATGCTCACGTGATTATTTTTTCCTTTCCTACCCCGTTCCCGTTGAAAAACGGATTAGTGGAAACTCGCCTTAAGTGTCTGCGATTACGTCGGCACCGACGTCTGTGCAGATATGCGCATAATTTGTCTGCGCAGACACATTTTCCGAACCCTACATATTTTATAGCATTTTCTTTATATAATGAGAATGAACAAAAATATTTCGAATCACAAAATAAACTTGTACAAAAATTTACTTCTAAGTACAAAAATAAAAATAAAAAAATTTTAAAAGTTTAATTAACAAACTATAATTAATAAATTTTTGTTATCGATATTTAAAAACATTCTTTATAGAAGTATGTATTTATTTTACAACCATCATAATTCTTTTTACTAGTAAGTATTTCCGAATTCTCTTCTAAAGAACTAAATAATATCTTCAGTTATAGTTCCATGATAGTTTAAATTTCAGTTATAGTTTCATGATAGTTTAAAAAATTAAATTACTTGATTGGTGATCTAAACTTGAATTTTTATGGCTATTACTTAAATAACAACATCAAAAATTTTTATAACGATTTTTTTGAAAATGGCGCAATCCTTTTAATAAATAAACGCACAATAGTAATAATAAAATCAGCTTCACTAATAGACAATATTAAATACAAAAGATTTAAGAAAACCCTCGTAAATAAAACAAAAACTGTATATCAAATACCTAAAACTGAAAACAATTAAAAATAAAACACTCTATAAAACTTATGCAAAACAATTTGAAAAAAAAAGAAAAAACCTAAAAAAAAACTACTACACCAATTTATTTGAAAAATACAAAAATGATTCTAAAAAAACATGGAAATATATAAATAAAATCATCAGTAACTATAAAATAAAAGCGTGCTCTCTGCCATAAGTTATTGAAACAAATAGCAAACTCCTATTATAATAGCAAACAAAACAAACAAGTATTTCATATCAGTTGGACCAAGCTTTGCTAAAAATATACCTTTTGTCACTAATTTAGCAAGTGACACTCCCTCTTCATTAAACTCTTCTCTAAATATTTTTAAAACAACATTCGAAGAATTTGAATCCGCCGACAAAATGATTAAACTTAATTAAGTGGTTGGACCAGGCGATGGAAAATTAATGGAAATATTGTTATTGGTTCTTATGACAGCATTAAAAATATTCTTTTTAAAGTTTTTAGTTCCTTAATTAAACAAGCAATGTTTCCATTAATTAAATAGCTAATTAAATAGAGTTACTCGAATCTTTAAAAGAGGCGAACTAACTAAACTCAATAAATACCGCTCAATTTCAGTTCTCCCTGTTTTTTTAAAAGTTTTGGAAAATATTTTGTATTATAGAATATATAACTATCTAACTATAAACAAAATATTATACAACAACCAATATGGATTCGAAAAAAAAATAATTCTACTGAACATGCAACACTTCAACTTACGAAAAGTATTGCAAGTTCATCTGAAAAAATACAATATACTCTAGGCATTTTTATAGATTTATCAAAGGCCTTTGATACTATTGAGCACAAAATTCTTTTTAAAAAACTGCAACTCTATGGAATTACAGGGAATGTATTATTATTATCAAAAAACTGTTTAAAAAATCGGAAACAATTTGTTAAAATAGAGTCATCCTCATTATCAAATTTATCAAATATATCATACGGAGTTCCACAAGAATTGATACTAGGACCTTTGCTTTTTTTAATTTAAATTAATGATCTCTATAAAGCATCAAATTTTAACAACAATTATGTTTGCCGATGACACAAATCTTTTTCTAACTGACAATGACTTACCAACATTATTTAACAAAATGAATAGTGAACTAATAAAATCTCTGATGGTTTAAGTCTAACAAACTATCTAAATATCAAAAAAACTAAATGGATTCTTTTTTACCCAGCTTCAAAAAAAAATTTACTTTCGATTATACCTTCCTTGTATATTGATAATACTGATATAAAGAGAGCTAAAGTAACCAGTTTCTTGCGTGTTTGCATTAATTAAAACCTCACATGGAAAAATCATGTTAACAATCTAAACAATAAAATTGCTAGAAGTATAGGAATGCTATACAAATCAAGAACTTTTTTAAGTAAATACACTTTAGTTCAATTCTATTACTTATTTATTCATTGCCATATTAATTTTGCTAATAATGCATGGGGCGGTGTAAATAAAAGTATACTAGAAATTCTGATTTGTCAACAGAAGCATTTTGCACGTCTTATAAATTTTAAACACCGTTTTACTCATGCCAGGCCTCTTTTACTTAAAATGAATATTCTTAATGTATATCAACTTAATGTCTATAATGTCTATAATATTCTTTGCTTTATGTATAAATGTAAAACTAACACTTCCCCTTATCCTTTTATAATTTTGGTAGATTTTGCTTCTCTAATCGAAAAGCTTATTTATGGAACAAAATAGTTTCGAAATATTTTAATTGTACTCAAGAGTATAATGACAACACATTCAAAAGAAAACATAAACAGATAATTCTAACTATCGATAACATAAAAAAAACTTTTTGCTAGTACTATACTAATAGTATATCAAGTATATATATATATATATATATATATATATATATATATATATATATATATATATATATATATATATATATATATGTATACATAGTATAGCTACATATATATATATATATATATATATATATATATATATATATATATATATATATATATATATATATATATATATATATATATATACACTATGTATACTTATATTTATATATATATATACTATGTATACTTATATATTATTATGATTGTAAAACGACTAATTAGTCGTTTTACAATCATAATAATATATAAGTATACATAGTATATATATATATATATATATATATATATATATATATATATATATATATATATATATATATATATATATATATATATATATATATATATATATATATATATATATATATATATACTATGTATACTTATATATTATTATGATTGTAAAACGACTAATTAGTCGTTTTACAATCATACTAATAATTAGTCGTTTTAACAATCATATAAGTAAAATTCATACTTTAAAATTCATATTTTAAAGTGTTTTATGTAAAATCAAATAATAAACATCAACACCGCTTGACACTGAATTCTAGAAAAAAAATTTTCTGTTCATCAAGCAAAATTTTTTATATTTCAACGACAATTAATTTTATCACGCCTAGATCTATTTCTTTCATATGACAACAACTTCAAGTCACCTATAACCATTTACACTAATAACTTCTTCGAGCCTAATATTATACATCTGTTATCATTAAATATATTACCAGTGATTATACTACTGTTACAACTAAATAAATAAACGTTTTATATTTTTACAACTGAAAAATATAAAACAAAATCTTTGACATTATTTTAATTTAGCAAAGAATTTAGACTACAATGAAAAGTTATTTTTACCTTCAGCCACCATCTTAATGCACAAAAATAATAAATGCAGAATCTTGTATAAAAAATGAAGCAATGTCAGTCTAAAGTAATATATATATATCTATGTATATATATTCAAATTTTTTCTACTCTTTTTAATTTTTTCTACGAGATAATATTTATATACCCAACGGGCATTCGAACATATAATCAACGTTTAGTTAATGTTTGTTCTGAATGTTTAGATTTAATTTAGTTTCGATTTAGAACGTAGGTCAATCGAATGTTCCATTTAAACCATATCTAAATGGTTAACCATTTAAATATGGTTTAAATGGAACATTCGATTGACCTACGTTTAAATTGGAGTTTAAGTAGCGTTTAAAACGAACCGGTTCGTTTTAAACGTTTCGTTTTAAACTTCGCGACGTTTAACTTTATTTTACGGCGCTTATTTAAAGAAGCATAAATAAATAAAAAATACTGATAAACGAATCAAACTTTTCTTTTATTTAAGCTGCTTTAAATAAGTACCGTTAAGAAAAGTTAAACGCTGAACGCATTATCTAAATACTCAAAAACAAATCAAACATTAAACAGATAATTTTTTATTTATATAAATCTAAAATACAAGTAAAATCATTTTATTTATTATTATATGCATTATCGTATTCGTCATCATGATTGGCTCCATAATGATCATTGTCATCTTTGCTTGAACTGATTAAGCCTCTTCGTCTTAAGAATTAGAAAAAAGGACGTAACCTTTTCTATTTCCACCTAAACGGAAGGGGGTCATTCTAAGATAAGAACCAATGCACGATATCATATTGCGGATACCGAAGTCATACAATCTTTTTTCTAAAAATAATAACAATAACTCAATAAACATCTTCATTCTATTCATATAAATCATTCATTTAACAATCCATTTAACATTTATAAATCGATAGTTTTATAGATTATAGAAGATTGTACATTAGTACAGTGTACATTGAGTAACTATAGTAACAATTCATAAAGAACATTTCTTTAAAACTCTGTATAATATATAACATTTTTATAATAAAAACCTTATTGAAAAAACTTGTAGTTATCGCAGTTATGGGTTGATGAGTTATATAACTCATATATATATATATATATATATATATATATATATATATATATATATATATATATATATATATATATATATATATATATATATATATATATATATATATATATATATATATATATGTATATATATATATATATATATATATATATATATGTATATATATATATATATATATATATATATATATATATAATATATATATATATATATATACATATATATATATATATATATATATATATATATATATATATATATATATATATATATATATATATATATATATATATATATATATATATATATATATATAGATAAAGTTTGATAACTCCCATTACCCATTGTCTTGAGGAGCAGTAGGCACACTCAGTATCCTGTTGGATTGAAACTTTCTATTTAATTGAAAAGTTGTAGAGATACCGACAGTTTCACTACAATATAAATAAACATGTAAAAATAAAATTGTAATTCCTAAAATTCTTAAAGTTAAAAACTAATCAATAAACATTATAATAAAAATTTATATATCAAACTCATATATGTACTAACACGCAACTCAAGCTAAAAATTAAGTATTACTTGATCAATAAATATTACTTGATCAATCCATTAGTTTGTGCTTTGATATAGTAGTTATGTGAATAATGGTATTTTAAAACTCAATTTTCGAGCTAACAGAAAAGGAGACTTTACAAGTACTGATGGGTTAGCTACAATGTAAATAACTATATAGATATATTATGTATACAAAGTTATTTTAAATAAAAAGTTACTAAAGCATTTAGTAAATTTTTTTTCAAAATTCAAAGTCTATCTTAAAAGAATTACACTGCTAAATATGTTTATCAGTCATAAAATTAACAGATTTATCTAAAAGTAAAGGAGTTTTATATAAGAGATATAAATTTAGACATCTTACTTGATTGGTCCATTTTACAGTCTTTTGGTTTCACACTTGATTTGAATAAAGATAATAAAGATCTTAAAATGCAATTGAATGCTTGAGACAAGGTGGCTGTGGAAGTAGTGATTGCCTTCTTCAGTTTCTGATATTTAAAACTTTTGCAATCCTCATAACAATCTGTAAAAGGAATAACAAAACATCATATCCAAAGCAATGACAAATTAATTTAAAAAGTAAATAGTTTAACATTTTTTGAATAAAAATTATTATATCACAAACTAAAATAACAATTCAATAAAATATCAAGCTTTCGGTTCTTCCAATCAAACAGCCTGACGATATGACATTTTGCTAAAATGTTAACACTAATTTGGTTGAAGGTACATCAACACATAACATTAACTTGTAACTAAACTTGTTAAAAGTGTTTTAAATAAGTTTAATCTTCTAGTTTTTTAGCTTTTTTTGTTGACTTTAGTTTTCCTAATTCCGAGGGATGATATACATATGCGTAATATATATTTCGACCCGTAAAATTTCAAGCTTGGTAGGTCTTTCATAACATAATAAAATAAATGAAAAATAATGCAATAAATATTTCAATAGCTTTTAGATAAAGAGTATAAGATAAAAACAGAACAATTTGAACTCTCTTTTAACTAATTTAAACTTTAAAGACTCAAACCAATCATCAATGTACCTTTCAAATATAAATTTTTATAAATAGCTTTTTATAAGCCTGAGCAATTAGATTATGATTTAAAAGGTAAATATCAGACAGATGTTCAGATTTTAGAATCATATTTAAAAATACAGAGTTTGCAGTTTATCTTGTGATTACTAAAAAAATATCTTTAAATTTTAAAAACATTGCAGCTTTTATTTACAGAATGATCTTTACAGAAATAGCCATTAACTTAATTATTATTTTAGGAAAATCTAAATTTTAAAGGAGTAAAAATGTCACAAAAAATCAATTTACCACTTGCATGTGTACTTGGCTGTTTCTTGTTGCTTTAATTGTTGTTGCAACTGACTGGACTGTATATAAAATATTAAATGAAATTAAACACGCAAAACTTAATAAATTATAAAAAAAATATTTGCGCAGATTTTAGAAATATAATATAACTATGTAATATAACTTTATTATTGTTCGAACCATGTTAACTTTTCTACTAAAGAGAAAATAAATGATTCAATATAATAATCTATCATATCAGAGTTAAGTAAATTTATTTTCTCTTTAGTGGTTATCATATAAGAGTATGAATAATACTTAAACTGGTAAAGCTACAGTTACGCAGCCCAAAATAATTATATTTTTGTCAGGGGGTTTTGCTACATCGACTATCTTAAAGCCTGACTCGCAACGGTGTGCTGCTACATCGACTATCTTATAGCCTGCTGCTAAAAGGAAGTACTGCTACATGAACTAAGGGTTTGGCATGGGAAAGCAATTTTATTTTTATTTTTATTATATCGATGTAGCAAAAACCCCTGGCAAAAATATAACTATTTTAGGTCACCTAACTGAAGGATTACTCTTAAACGTTTAAAAATATTTTTTAGTTTACACTAAAAGCCTACACTAAAACTGAACCTCATAATTTTTGATTGGCACTGACTGCACTAAAAGTGTAAATATTAAAACATTGCTATTCGATCAATATAACATCAGTCATAAACAAATAGATGTTATGTCTTAATATAAACAAACAATAATAATTTTATTTAGTTATTTAAAAAGTAGTTACCAATTAAAATGCATAATTTTTCTCTAAAACTTTTAGAGAAAATTTATGCATTTTAAGTGGTAACTATTTTTCATAATTTTTCTACTTTTAGTAAAAGCAGAAAAATTAGGAAGCTAAGAGTTAACTATAGACGTTCTATAGCGTTGTTAAAAACCAAACAGAAAAAACAATTTAAGAAATATTTAAAAAAAATGCTGAAATTGATACTTTTTGAAATTACTGCTAATTTTTTGAAACTGCTATTTTAGTAGCAATAACTAAACAAAGAATTATCAAAATACATTGTTACTGTACTGTAAAACTACTTTTAATCGCTTATACATTATTATCGAAAAACTTACAGGACTTTTTAGCCGCTTCATTAACCACAAAATAATACTAAAAACAAATTTCTTTTATCTCTTCTAAACTATTTATTACATAATTTAAGATTCATAAGAAATTCTAATTTTTAATCATAATGAAAGGGTAGGTACAATCAGCGGGGCGGATTGGCGGGACGGATCATTTAAACAGTGCAAACGGTGGGGCAGATCATTGCATCGGGTAAGATTTATAATGCAATCAGTCATACTTTATAAAATGGAAAAAAAATCTATTCAATTTTAGTTTTATTTCATTAAATGTTTAAACATCGAACATTTTTGTTACTTGCGTATTGTTACTTAGATAAATAACAAAAATGTTATATAATATTTTATCTACAGGAAATACAAAAACTGATTGCCTCAGTTTCATAGGTCAGAAGTTTCTGGTTTAATGTTTCAAAGTCTAAATTACATATTTTTAAAAAATAGGTCTGTAAAAAAACAAATTTATGTTTTATAGAGTCATTTTATTATCTAAAAACAACGTGATCCGGCAACTTATAGTAAATGATCCGCCAAATTTTATGAAGTGATCCGCCTAACATTTTGATTGCTTACTAACACTGTTTATAGTTTAAATAAATTCAATATTGAATAACAACTATATATGTTTCAAATTGATTTTCCTACAATAAAACAACGTGATCCGCCAACATATATCAAGTGATCCGCCGAATTATATCAACTGTTTCCCCAACTTATTGTAAATGATCCGCTAAAGTTTCACGAAGTGTTCCGCCTAACATTTTGATTGCTTACAAATACTGTTCATAGTTTAAAATAAATTCAATATTGAATAACAACTTTATAAGTTTCAAAGTGCTTTTTTTATTAAAAAACAACATGATCCGCCAATATACATCAAGTGATCCGCCAAGTTATATCAATTGTTCCGCCAACTTAGAGTAAATGATCCGCAAAGTTTCACGAAGTGATTCGCCTAACATTTTAATTGCTTACAAATACTGTTTATAGTTTCAAATAAATTCAATATTGAGTAACAACTTTACATGTTTTAAATTGATTTTCCTACTATAAAACAACGTGATCCGCCAATATATATCAAGTGATCCGCCAACTTATAGTAAATGATCTGCCAAAATTTTATGAAGTGACCCGCCTAACATTTTAAATTTATGTCAAGTGATCCGCAAACTTATCATAAATGCTCCGCCAAATTTCATGAAGTAAGGAAAAATATCTCTCCGATATTTTTCCCAAAAATCTTTCTTAAATAACAATTTTTTTTCCTTACCATTAGTATTAAAAAAATATATTATAAGTGTGCTATAAATAGTGCGTCGAGCGTTACAAATATCTTTTATCTAAAACAAAATCAGTAAGATGTTACAATGACATTATTTCCATTTGTACAGCAAAAATTATTATTATTAGCACCACAAACGCAATATATTAAAACTAAATAGAATTAACATTATAACTAACCTTTTTTTAATAATACCAGTAAACAAAGTAACTCTTGGCTTAATTGTTTGAATAGGATTTCATGTCATAAACTGTTACCTTAAGATCAATAAAGTGAATATCAAAACTCGATAATTTACTAATTTTAAACCATATTTCAACAGTAGGCACACTAAACCAAAAAAATGAAGAGCGAGGTAGAACTAAAGAAATGAAAAAATAGTTTCATATAAAGTAGACATGTAATTTCTATATAATTAATAAAAGATATTTCTACCAGCTTGAAAAACTAAAGCAAAATTTATATTATATATATACATGTATATATATATATATATATATATATATATATATATATATATATATATATATATATATATATATATATATATATACATATATATATATATGTATATATATATATATATATATATATATATATATATATATATATATATATATATATATATATATATATATATATATATAAATATATATACACACACACATATATACATACATATCAGTCTCTCTATTGTTAGCAAGGTCTTTGAATCTTTAAATAACAATCTTCTTATTGGCAACACTATTACAGAGACTTCTGCGTTATACCTCTTAAGATTATTTTTTTGTTTTTTATGTTTTATATATTTTTAATGTTTGAGTGTTTTAATGTTTAAAGTTTAAGTACAATCCATTACAAAGTTAGCACAAGATACAGTTGTCTCTCTTCATTCTGCTTGTCATTTCAATACTACTTGTTCCCTTTGCTACTTCGATTTTCTACCTATTTAAATCTATTATTCATCCCTGATAGGAATACTTTTGTCACATTTGGGCTGGTTCTTCTAATGGTACTATTTCTCTTCTCAACAAGATCCAAAAACATTTTGCAAATGTTGAACATGTATAGCTCCAAAGTCTGAGCCTCTGTGCCATTATCATAAAGTTATATATTTTTTTTTTTTCCAAATACTATATATCTAGTTATTTCAACCAATAATGACTCACGAAAGATCAATCATATCACCTAACTCATCATTTACGAAAGCCGTACCTTTTCACATTTATCATCATATATAACTCTAAATACTACTTGAACTCTAAACACTATTCTAACTCTAAAAACCATTTTAACTCTAAACACCATTTTAACTCTAAACACCATTTTAACTCTTAACACCATTCTTACTCTAAACACTATTCTAACTCTAAACACTATTATAACTCTTAACACCATTCTTACTCTAAACACTATTCTAACTCTAAACACCATTCTAACTCTAAACACCATTCTAACTCTAAACACCATTCTTACTCTATACATCATTCTTACTCTAAACATCATTCTTACTCTAAACATCATTCTTACTCTAAACATCATTCTTACTCTAAAGATCATTCTTACTCTAAACACCATTCTTACTCTAAACACCATTCTTACTCTAAACACCATTCTTACTCTAAACATCATTCTCACTCTAAACATCATTCTTACTCTAAACATCATTCTTACTCTAAACATCATTCTTACTCTAAACACTTTTCTAACTCTAAACACCATTCTAACTCTAAACACCATTCTTACTCTAAACATCATTCTTACTCTAAACATCATTCTTACTCTAAACATCATTCTTACTCTAAACATCATTCTTACTCTAAACACCATTCTTACCCCAACGGGCATTCGAACATTTAATCAACGTTTAGTTAATGTTCGTTCTAAATGTTTCGATTTAATTTAGTTTCGATTTAAAACGTAGGTCAATCGAATGTTCCATTTAAACCATATCTAAATGGTTCATTTTAAACGCTATTTAAACTTCATCTAAATCTTTCGTTAAATTTCGCGACGTTTAACTTTATTTTACGGCGCTTATTTAAAGAAGCATAAATAAATAAAAAATACTGATAAACGAATCAAACTTTTCTTTTATTTAAGCTGCTTTAAATAAGTACCGTAAAGAAAAGTTAAACGCTGAACGCATTATCTTAATACTCAAAAACAAATTAAATATTAAACAGATAATTTTTTATTTATAAGTCTAAAATACAAGTAAAATCATTTTATTTATTATTATATGCATTATCGTATTCGTCATCATGATCGGCTCCATAATGATCATTGTCATCTTTGCTTGAACTGATAACCTTTCTTATTTTCACCTAAACGGAAGGGAGCCATTCTAAGATAAGAACCTATGCACGATACCATATTGCGGATACCGAAGTCATACAATCTTTTTACTAAAAATAATAAAAGTAACTCAATAAACAACTTCATTCTATTCATATAAATCATTCATTTAACATTTATAAATCCATAGTTTTATAGATTATAGAAGATTGTGCATTAGTACAGTGTACATTGAGTAACTATAGTAAGAATTCATAAAGAACATTTCTTTAAAACTCTGTATAATATATAACATTTATATAATAAAAACCTTATTGAAAAAACTTGTAGTTATCGCAAGTTTGATAACTCCCATTATCCATTGTCTTGAGGAGCAGTAGGCACACTCAGTATCCTGTTTGATTGAAACTTTCTATTTAATTGAAAAGTTGTGGAGATACCGACAGTTTCACTACAATATAAATAAACATGTAAAAATAAAATTGTAATTCCTAAAATTCTTAAAGTTAAAAACTAATCAATGAACATTATAATTAAAATTTATACTAGGTTGGTTGAAAAGTTCGCGGAGCAGAAATGAAAAAACAATTTTATGATTCAAAAAATGACTTTATTCTTCAGTATATTCTCCCTTAAGAGCAATACACTTTTTCCAACGATTCTCAAATTCATGTATCCCATCTCTGAAGTGCGATTCCGGAAGGCCTTCAAAATACCCATTTACGGCTGCAATGACTTCTTCATGTGATGAGAAACGCTTTCCACGTAGAAATTTTTTGAGATGTGGAAAGAGGTGGAAGTCAAACGGAGCCAGATCTGGTGAATAGGGTGGATGTTCCAAGCGTTCGTACTTTAATTCGACCAATTTCGCCTTTGCAACATCGCTGATATGAGCAGGTGCGTTGTCCTGGTGATAAATGATTTTTTTATGCAGCAAACCAGGTCTTTCCTCACGAATTTTTTTATCCAACTGGTCCAAAAGATTTTTATAATATTCACCTGTTATCGTTTTACCGGTTTGAAGGTAATCTATTAATAAAATTCTTTTCGCATCCCAAAAAACTGATGCCATAACCTTCTTTGACGATTTTGACGCCTTCACTTGCTTCGGAGCTGAACAACTGGGTTCTGTCCACTCTGCAGTTTGTTGTCGCAGCTTCGAATCATAGTGGTAAACCCAAGTCTCATCCATGGTTACAAATCGACGCACAAAATCTGTTTTATTCTTTTGAAAACGGGCCAAATGTTCTTGAGAAAGTTTTACTCGAGTGCGTTTCTGATCCAGAGTTAGCGAATGCGGCACCCATCTTGCCAACCGCTTTCTCAGACGTAATTCATCGTGCAAGATGTGTAATACCCGTTCATCTGAGATGCCCACAGCCTCAGCAATTTCACGTTTGGTCAATCGTCTATCATCCATAACCATGTCATGCACAGCATTAATCGTTTCTTCAGTAGTAGCACTTTTTGGACGTCCAGAGCGAGGGTCATCTTCAAGGCTTGAACGCCCACGTTGAAACTCCGCAGCCCATTTGCATACTGTTG